TGTGTGTGTGTGTGTGCACATGAGTACACACACACTGTATAAGAAATACTAATGATCTGATGGTCATTTCAAAAAATCCTTTTTAAGTGAGTATCTAGAAGCCAAGAGGAACATATGTGCCAAATTTTAAGTTTGTAGGCTACAGTTCTGGAGATTTTGTGATGAGTGAGTGGTATTTGGCTTTTATATAGATTAAAACTAGACCATCGACAACAGTGAATGATGAAAATCTGATGCCTTAAAACTGTGCTTCTGGAAAGAATTGTTGAATATCAAAAAGAGCAAATCATTAAATACCAGACACAGTAAAATCAATTTGTTCACTGGAGCACTAATAATAAAGCTAAAGCTTAAATATTTTGGACATATACTGTAGAAGAATAAGCTTTTAAGAAGCTGTTTGGAAAATTTGAAGACAATCAAGAAAGAAGCTGACAAAAGATGAGATGGCTGGCTGTAATTACTGATGTCAAGCACAAACTAACAAGACTTCAAAGTAGCTGACAATCCTGGAAAATAGTTGTCCATTAAATCATGAAGAGTCAGAAGTGACTAAACAATTGAGTGACCTGGTGGCTAAGATGTTAGACTAGGATTAGAAAGATCCATGATTGAAGTTAATACAGTATGTAGACCTGAAAATTCACTGAATAATTTTGGGGCGGTCCTAATTTTTCAGCCAAACTTATTCCTCATAGTTGTGGTTGATTCAAATGAGTCAAATATTCTAGATTGGCACCAGCTCTCCTTTTATAGTTTTTATGTACAAATAATATAGCCTTCTTTTCTTTCCAGGGTACTCCATAAAATTCTATTCACTTGGTAATCTATATGTTTGATAACTTGTTTATTTCAAATGCCATTTGACTCATTTCAATCAGAATAATAATCAGCCATTTGTGGAAGGGGGAGATACTATTTAGCAAAAACTTTCCAAAATTTATGTAGACCATGAATTGAAAAAGATAAGCAGTGCTTCATCTCATCCCATCCCATCCTATCCCATCTGTGAGTGGAAAAGCAAGGATCTTGAAAATTTCCAATAAAAAATATCTTTGGTTATTTTATAAAAAAGCAACTTGAAGAAATTCAAAGCAGAAGCTGTGTAATGCTTAGGGACAGGAATAAGGTATCTATGAACAGATCAGAAGTTTCCTAAACATTCATTTTATGATGTATATTTTATTAACTGTATTTTATTAAACACAAAAAGTGCAGAGAAAATTTCATTTTTTATTAAATGATAATGTTACAATACACTTAGTCTATTGTCATTTAATACGTAAGGTTCTTGAACTCGTGGGTATTCATCATTCTTAATGACTTTAATTGAAACTGCTGCAACCTGAAAATTACTACTACTTTTATTAGAAATATTGACCTTTCAAATATATTGCTAAAAATCCACACCTAGCAACTCAATTAAAGATGTCATATTCAATGTCTAAATTTCTAATAAAAGAATAGATGCTATTTGTTCTCATTTTAGTCTTCTATCCATAGGCACATGTTGAGAGGTTTAAAAAAAATATTCTAGAAGGTGGTGGTGTGCCTGGTTTGCCTAAAGCAATAAAATCACTCTGAAGAGATATAATTTTATTCGTATGCAATCAATAAATGGTGTGTCCTAGATTGCCAGCGAAGCTGAGTAGCCCTCATCAAAAGCAGAACCAGAGCTAATATATACTTTTGGTCTACTACACTGATGGCTAACCTTTTTGTTGTTGGGTGCTAAAAATGTGAGTGCATGCACGTAATAGCGTGCACGTGTTCAGGCACCCATAATGCAAAGCACAACCCCATGTACATGTTCACACATACACACCCATGCTCCCCGACCATGCCCACCACACAGCTTGCCTCCAAGCTGAGCTTGGTATTGTTATAGCCCAGCAACAGCCTGTGCTGCGCTCTAATTGGTCGGGTGAAGCACAGCCTGTGATTGGAGGTTGTATTGACAGTTGAAATGACAGTTGGTGCCTGAGGGTATAAATACCGTGACAGTTGTAACAGATACTGAATCGCTTGTCATCTCGCAATAAACATCTTACTCTCTGATTCCATGGCTCCTGCGTCTATCCCTCACACTTATTCAACACTGGCGACGAGGATGGGATAGATCGCGATTCCGCAGAGCCTGGAATAAGAATAAAACTATGGACTATAACAGGTATTTCCACCCGGGGACCAGGGAAGACCATTTTTGTCCTCCCCAGGCTCCAGGAAAGCCTCAAATCATTTCCAAACCTCTGGTAGGCCCATTGGGCCTGTTTTTCATTCTCCCCAGACTCTGGAGGCTTTTCTGAAGCCTGGGGAGGGTGAAAACTGCCTCCCCTGGCCCTCTGTAAGGCTGAAAATCAGCTGGCCAGTGCGGGCATTCATGCTGGAGCTGACAGCTTACATGCTGGCAGATATGGCTCTGCATTCCAGCTGTGGAATGCGTGTCATAGGTTCGTCATCACGGGTCTACTACATTGCATATACAAGACAAAGGAGAAAGGCAAACACTTTGGAAATTACAGTTCACTATGGAATGTTTTATATATACCCATCCATGTGACCTTAGTATTTATACCCTCATACTAGACCAGACCTGGTATATTTGACATATATTGATGAACAGGGACAATTTGATTCTTCTACCTTTGCCATTCAAGATCAATTCAGCTCATTGTGATCATTGTCTCACAGGATAATTTAAGAAGTTCCTGTCTATGGGGGGAGCAGCTCATAGGTTTCACCATCCAGATTAAATGTGTTTGGGTGGTACCTTTTACTATTGGTCAGAACTACAGTATAGGTATCAACATCAGAAATATATACTGTGTGACTGGGTTTCAATTATGTAGTCTTGACCATCAATTTGACTTTTTAAAATATTTATTCCACCCTCAGCTCAGAAACTGCTGGCTCCATCATCTTATTCTATTGCAGAGCAGAAGCATTATAGAACACAAAAAATAATTCCTTGAAGAAAAAGAGAGAGTCAAGTATTATTTAATATCACCTGCATATTTCACCAAGCATACGGTGTTAATAGCTTTTCAATTTAGAGTTGACATACTATTTTTTTCTTCAGATATCATAATTGTGATAGTTGAAAACAGGTGATAGTCTATCTGCATTATGACTAACATTCAATTAAGCACTTAAGGAAAATATGGCTCAAGTCATCAAATGTTTAATTAAAAAAAACTTTAGTTGTGAATAGCTTTGCTATTAAATGGCTAGGCGTTTTATGAAAAATATATGCACATTCTCTTAATTTCTTTTTAAAAAAATATCCATTATCTAGGAATTGTTTATTAATCCATTTATTTAGCAAGGTTTAATTATTATAGTCTCAAAGGATAAAAATAATCTGTGCCACTGAAATATTTGAATAGCACATCATTTCCACAAAGAGCAACACTGAAATATTTGAATAGCACGTCATTTCATAAAGAGCAACATGTAACTTCTGGGGCAGAGTCTCCTTTTCTTTTTCTCCAAATTATGCAGGCATGTCTAAAAAAGAGAAAAGAAAACAATACCAGCGAAAAGAAATAAAAAGCCTGTTGGGGAGACTTGGAAATAGCTCCATTTATTTTCAGACACAAAGCATACTAAGCATATGCTAAGTAGAGAGACAAAAAGAGCTGGCAAGCCATTTAGCTGATCAATGATCAGCTCGCTTGGCTGGGAGGAAATTCTATTAAATTTATGGAAGTTTAGTTAAGTCTTTTGGTGTCTGCCTTATGGAATGAGTTTTCCTCTGAGATCTGAATGGTGCTCACCTTGACAATGTTTTGGAGGACAATAAGTCCCTGATTGTCCCAGGATAAGCTATCAAGTTTACAATTTTCTATGTAGACTGTTCATTTTTTTTAAAAAAAAAAACCTAGTTCTTATACTGTGAACTATTTGGAGTCAGTCTAGAGCCGGGAGCACCTATATCACTTGGAATGTACGGTATATGGGTTAGATAGAGTCTAAGGACTGATAAAATACACACTTGTTTTAAGGATCTGTTGTTGTTGTTAGTTGCAAAGTCGTGTCTGACCCATTGCGACCCCATGGACAATGTTCCTCCAGGCCTTCCTGTCCTCTTCCATTCTCTGGAGTCCATTTAAGCTCACACCTACTGCTTTGGTGACTCCATCCAGCCAATTCATTGTCTGTTGTCCCCTTTTTCTTTTGCCTTCAATTGTTCCCAGCATTAGGCTCTTCTTCAGTGAGTCTTTCCTTCTCATTAAGTGGCCAAAGTATTTGAGTTATATCTTCAGGATCTGGCCTTCTAAAGAGCAGTCAGGGTTGATCTCTTCTAGGACAGACCGGTTTGATCGACTTGCAGTCCAAGGGACTTGCAGGAGTCTTCTCCAGTACTGTAGTTCAAATGCCTCAATTCTTTGGTGCGCAACCTTT